TCTCAATGTTGCTTGCTCGACCAGCGAAGTCCAGCGCAACAAAGCAAACATACCCCCCTCTCAATGTTGCTTGCTCGACCAGCGAAGTCCAGCGCAACAAAGCAAACATACCCCCCTCTCAATGTTGCTTGCTCGACCAGCGAAGTCCAGCAAAGTCGAGCGAAATGAAGCGAACATGCCACCCGCTCTGTATTTCGTGTGCTCGACCAGCGAAGTCCAGCAAAGTCGAGCAAAACGAAGCGAACATGCCCCTGCTCTGTATTTCGTTTGCTCGTGCAGCAAAAGCGAGCGCAACGAAGCAAACATATCCCTCGTCTCGATTTCGCTTGCTCGAGCAACGAAGTCCAGCGAAACAAAGCAAACATGCCCCCGCTCTATATTTCGTTTGCTCGCGCAGCGAAGGCGAGCGAAGTCGATCAAAATGAAGTGAACATGCCCCCCACTCTATATTTCGTTTGCTCATGCAGTGAAGGCGAGCGAAACGAAGCGAACATATCCCTCGTCTCGATTTCGCTTGCTCGAGCAACAAAGTCCGGCGATGTCCAGCGAAACAAAGCGAACATGCCCCCACTGTATTTCGTGTGCTCGAGCAACAAAGCCCAGCGAAGTCCAGCAAAACAAAGCGAACATGCACCCGCTCTGTATTTCGCTTGCTCGCGCAGCCAAGGCGCGCAAGTTTAATAGCTCTTTTATATCGTTATATATAACCCCTTTGATATCTATTTCATATCTAACCCCCCCTTGATATCTAATTTATATCGATCCGCCCCCCCTTTATATCTCTTTTATATCACGACATGATGATATTGATGATTAATGTCATTAAAGTTGGGAACGCCCCGAGCACCCTATCCTGTGACTATATTCCGTGTCATGCACCCACGAAGTATATAATTTTTCAGTTCTACTTAATATTCCTATTAAAAATAACCTCTGTGGTAGTTTCTACACTAGTCTATATAGTATATACTTGGTCATGCTCACAAAAATACAATTACCAGCGGGAACGAACGGATTTTCTTTCGTTTTTCGCAACAACTTCTCCTTCAATCCTTCTGCGTGAAATGGAACGAATTCTGTTGTTTCTGGTTGATTGCCCTGGTGGCTACTTGGGAGCCAAGCCAGGTCTCCAAATGCCTTATCTGAACTTGCATGATTGGTCTTATTCTCAGCACTAACCATATTTTGTGAATGTTTGTATTAAAAACATAACAGACTTTCGACTAGGGAATACTCCGAACTCGCACGCCAACACCAATGCACAGCTGAGCCACAGCACAAATCTTGCACTTGACTTGTCGAAACTGGGGAGACAAGTGAGCAATCGGCTTTCAGTTTCACCGACATGCATCACAAGAACATATTGTATTCACTACTTATTTAATAAGAGTGTTGTAAAATTTGCCTCTATCACTTTTCTGTCTGCTGCATATCTTGTGATTTTACATGAAAAACATTCATGCTAAATATAATTATTTACATCTCATGATTCTTCTACTAAGTTTCCTTCTTTTTCTTCTTCCTCTTTTAGTTCCAGGTCCTGCCGCTGTAAGTGTACGCGCTTTCGGCGTATGGCGCAGGAACAGCGTGCAAGATTGCTGATAACAATTTTTACCAACAATTTTAGTGCATTCCGCGTGATACGATTACCGTTAGTTGATTTGATTTAATTTGTTTACGTGTTATGGGTAAGGCACGGGGAAAGGCAAGGAGGTGTAGAAAGAAATATGATTACACCGCTAATCGAAAGAGATTGTACAAAAAATCGAAAAAGTTGCCAACAGTGAAATGGTAATTTACAACTTTACAGTACTTTTTTAGTTCAGGTGACAGCTACTGAGCTAGTACTACTACTAGTAGCAGGAGTAAGATAATATAGGATATCCTATATTATCTTACTCCTGCTAGTAGTAGTACTACTACTAGTAGTGCTCATAGGGTCTATGACTATGTCCCCCAGGGTATTGCCGGAACGTACCCTGGTAACTAGCTGATATGGTTAGGGTTAGGGAGTAGGCGTAGGCGACTCTCTAGACTCGTTAGTGGAGTAGGCGAGGTACGGTCCGGCCTAGCTCTACTCTAGTACTATAGCCCGCGTTCGATAAACTGCCGCAGGCGGCCTATCGGCAGTTTATCGGCCTATTATCGGCCTCGGCAGTTTATCGGCCTAGGCGCCTGCCGCAGTTTATCGAACGCGGGCTATAGTACTAGAGCTAGGTCCGGCCCGGTATATTACTATTATTAGATAGTACCAGCAGAGCATATAAATCACGTTGATTTATATGCTCTGGTACCAGGGTACGTTCCGGCAGTACCCTGGTGGACATAGACCCTCTCAGCCTAACAGTAGTACTAGTACTATAGGGGGGTGTATAGCTGCATGATAGTGATAGGGTTTATATGACATGTCTCCCTGGTTACTGCCGGAACGTACCCTGGGTACGGTGCGGCATACCAGAACGTACCCTGGTAACTATCTGGTATGCATGGTTACTTAGGGAGTAGGCGTAGGCAACTCCCTAGACTCGTTAGTGGAGTAGGCGAGGTACGGTCCGGCATAGTAGATAGTACCAGGGTACATTCCGGTATACCGCACCTTACCCGAGGTTCGTTCCGGCAGTACCCAGGGAGACATAGACCCTGGCAGTTACTTGCTGCTGGCCAGCGGCAACCGTACGCGGGCTATAGTTACTACAGCTATAGTAACTATAGCCCGCGTGCAATTGCCACAGGGCTATAGGATCTTCTATTATGGATGCTCGGGACCAACTTAGTAATGGTTACTTGCGGCTATAAAACGTCTGTGATAGGCAATTCAGCGTGAGAAACTAGCGGTCGCCAGTGGTGACTAGAAAATTGACCCGGTGACTGCTTGCTCGTGTCAGCTGGTCCGGTGGGGCGACTAGATAATCGCCGCACAGCAGCAAAAAAAATACAGACTTGTAAACGGGAGCGCATAATACGACCCGTTCCTCAACGTAGACAGGGTATCCAAAACATCTAGAGCTGCATGAACTCCCTCAATGCATGATTCGCCACATGTTTTATATCGCAGGGGTTATCGTGGGGAGTGAGGGCACGACCAGTGACACCTGACACGCACGTAATCAAAGCTGTTAACTGAATTCGTCACTTTTCTTAACGTGGAAAGTGGACGATTTTTATTCAGTTAGATATCTAGAAGCAATGTAAACTGTATATACTTAAAGATTCTAGGCACTTGTAACTTTGCGGATGTGCGGCAGCATTGATCTATGCATGGGGTATACCTAGCTCCAAGAAACGGCCTTTGCTAGGGTTAGAAGACCCTAGTGTCCCTAGAAGACCCTGGAAGTGGTTGCGAACGTAGCAACGTTCATGAGACAAGAGGACTGGAAGTTTTTGGGGGCCTGGTCGGTACGTCTGTCGGTTAGGCGGACCACTCGCAACGGTAGGCGTCATTGCTGCTTGGGAGGCAAAACAACGAAAGTAACACCTTGCCCACAAGCTCCCGACATTCCTCGATTCCAGTACAACGTTTTTTACATACTCAATAACTAAAGAACTCCCGAAGTTCTAAACTTGCTCACTCGATTTAAAAAGATAAGTTGAAAGATGAAAGAAATAGTAAAAAAAAAAACTGAAAATAACCATACATCATTACCATGATTATAATTCTTGATTTCCTGTCTTTGTCATGTTACCTGACTATAGATCTCAGATATTAGAGCTCAGTGCATCAAAATTATGACAATTTTAACAAAAACCATGCTATGAAAAAGTAGCTCTGGCCAAGCCTAAAATAGCTCCCGTAAAAAAAATTACGAGAGCTCTTTTTTTCATACAAAATCAAAAAAGAGCTCTCGTAAAAAAAAAGAAATTTTTAGGCTGGTGAACACGCTTGTCTCAGCTGGTGTAGAGTATTGCCTTGGATTTCTGTGGTGTAACAACGGGTGTGTTGTGTTGTGTGTGTGGTGTTGAACCATGGGTGTTGACTGTAGTGTAACTGTAAGCCGATTTCTCTGAGGAGGCGGGGACCAGGGGTCCCAAACTAGGATTGTGCCAGCATATCATGCAATCAGACAGGTCATTAACCCCATAACCTCATAAATGTTAGTCTTCAAAAGTCCTGGGGACTATAACGAAGACGGAGAGAGAAGTGGATCAAATCGGTAGATCCACACTGCGGATCGCAGTGGAAAAGGTTGCAAATTTGCTTATGTCATTCATGCAATTTATCCCCGATTGCTAATTGGAGTTGATTACACAAGTTGTAGGCGGCTCATACACAAAGCAAAGGCAAACTCGATCGATTTGGAGACACATACATCAAGCTTTGAAAACACAACATGCCTGTGTTTGGTTTTTTAAAATTAGACAAGTGGAAATTAGAGCATGTCAATTAGGCTTTTGTGGCAGGTCAGAGGATTTATGCGATATCACAAACTAGCTTCAGCTTTGAAAGCATGTTGCACCCAACTTAGCCCCATTAAACGCTTGGGTGACCATAGGGTATACATAGGTAGGGCTTGGCTAGTTCTAGCTGTGTAGCCCTCTTGTTGCGAAGCAAAGGGCTACACAGGTAGGGGTCAATAAGGTACAGCCCAAGACCCATGTAGATGTACAACCAAGTTGTTTCTAGAACTGGCAGGCTTCATTCCTAGGATTACAAGTATATATGTACAGTGCATGTAATGTAGAGTATTGAGGCTGTAATGCTAGAGTTAGGTACCATTTAGCTCTAATTGCGAATGCCTTCGATGTCTAGTTACGTTATTTAGTTTGTTTTTATCCCAGAAGTGTGCATGGTTCATAAATAATATATTTGCGCAACTGTAAGTAAAACTAAGATAACGTATATCTTATTTATAATGTTAGTGTGTGAATCTGGTATTGTTCTTCGTACTTCAAGGTATTAATGAATGCATTATATAAATTTAATAGCATTTACAATAATAAATCATCAAGTTATATATTGAAATGTCAATTTTCAAAAAATTGCAAAATGTAATTTTAATGAACTTTGATTATAATTTATCTACTTCATTAAATGTAAGCATTACTGTGGTTTCAGCGAGCAAATCAAAGAGGCTTGGGATTGTCGAAAAGGCATAGCAACAAATTTTAGTGCAATGGGTCTGGCTTCCAATCCCAACGCAAGTGTACCAGTACCACGATACAGGGCAAGTACATCATCGCTATCTGCATTATTAGTAGTGAATAAAAACAAGTTAGTTTTTACTCACTCGTGATGTTATATATTACTACAAGCTGAGCTGCTATAGTACGTAGAATATTTACTTGAAAACCAATGATCACCAAGTCGCATCTTATGACATGCACAACACCCGACATAAAAAAAGAGAATTGGCTTCCTATACTGTGCCATAGTTCAGCATTCCCTCTGAAGTGCATCATTTTCGTGTATAATGAGCAATGTGGTTCTTTCGGATATATTTATTCTAAATTTACAGTGCCTATATTTGACTACATTCCTTAAATAGTGTCTTCCAAGCAGTAGCAACAGAAACACTGTCATCACCAGCAGTAGCAGTAGTAGTTGCTATGTGGTGTCTTCCCATGACAGTTATCAACAAGCCATCACAGTGTCTCGTCATATATTTCAGCATGACTTGGACCCATCCTTGATGGAAGGTATAGATTTGATTCAGCTAGAAGAATCGGAGAGAAAACGAAGAGGAACAGATCACATAACACAGAAGCACCATGTTGCAAAAGGTAGCAACTCCACAATAATAACATTCATCACTCAATGTTACATCAATCGAGCATTGTTAATCAATTACCACCTTTTGTGTGATACATATCCCAACAGTTTGGCTTGTTTTGGTGCAAGTGGTTGTTGGTGTTTGTAACAAGCTATTGTATTTCCAGAACTGGAGAAGGAATCCTTGGAACCACAACCCAACAGACAGAGGCTGTCAGATCCAGAAGTTAAATTTGCATTGTACATGATGGAGAAGTATGGTGAAGACTTTAAGGTATTTGTAAACAGAAGAAAAACCTGGGTGGTTATCAGGGTGTTAGCCAGGGGACAAAATCAGGGAGTCTCACCATCTGAGCGAAGTGAGGATGCTGCGGGCACGAAGCGCCTTAGGGGGAAAACCCGACGATTTTATTTTCATGCAGGGGTAAAATTGGGCCGCCCTCATGCCGTCTCTATCAAATTTCATCTGTCTCATCCGAGAATAGGCCATCCATAAGATGGGCAGACGGGTTTCTGGCTAACACACTGGATGCTACACATTTATGTGGTATAATCGATTATTCAATATTATTGCATTTGTTTTTGGAATCTAATAGTTAGTACTTCCTTTATTACAAAGGGCCAGTAATCACTGTGTAGAATGTTAAGAACTTGTGGGCTACATTCCTTTGTTATTTATTTCTTTATTTGTTCTTGTTTACAGGCTATGGCACGAGATCCGAAAAATTATTACCAGGAGACGCCCAAAGCTATTAAAAGAAAAATATCATTTCTCAAGTCTTTACGTCAATATAAGAACATCATTTCATCTAAAAAAACGAATGACACATAGCATTTTCATAAGGACCTGTTGTTTATATGTAATATTAACATAATGTAGCAAACTATAAAATAATGTGTACTTCTATACCAACGTTTCTGTTACATTGGCAAATTTTTTTTCATGTAAGATACATATGCATATGTCATCGTAATTCTTCAGAAGACAAATTTTGATAGCTTAGATAAGTAATTAACTGTTTTTGCGTCAGAAAACGTTCAGATCATGCCAATGAACCTGAAATACACAAGTGACGTATTTATAGAATTAACATCACGAAAATGTTGGTAGTAAAGTGTATTTTTTCTATGAGAATTTCACTATCTAATATGTTCATACTTTTGCTTTTTAAGCTATATATACTCTCTACGTGTCAGGTGTGTTAGGTAATCAAATTGTAGGTTATTTTGCTCAATCTCTTAATGATTTATTACAGTTCTTACTTACGACATTTCTACGTTATGATATACAGCTTTGATTTCGTTACTGAATGAACCATTCACTATCATGTTCCAGATACTCCGCGATCATAGCCTGTATGTGAAAGTGGTTCGTTACACTAAATTGTATTTCATGTAATTGAAGCCTATGTGAGAAGTGCGCATGTGTTCCTTTGGTTAAATCAAGGTGTCAACGATAAACTATTTTCTACTATGTACCTGTGTACCATACTGCGTTTTGTGCGTTTTGCTGTTTACATGAAATCTACGCACCTGGGGCACCTCTACATCAATTTAGAAGATTTTGGCTGAAAAAACATTGTATTGAATTGCGGTGACATGCCCGCGTAGACAGTAATCAAAACAATAAATAATGAGGTAAAGAATGATTATTAGTGTATATATATTGGAATTGTAATGTCGTATCAAGAGTAGCAGTGACTGACATATTTACTGAATGTGTATAAAAGCTGCCTGCAGGCGCGTGACACTAGGAGACTTGGTGACACTCTTGTGCGAGTAATTGGAGCAATTACATACGCACGCATGCACGTACACGCACGCACTCATACATGTACACACGCACCCATATACATACACACACGCACCCATATACATACACACACGCACTCATACATGTACACACGCACCTATGTACGCCCACACACGCACCCATATGCATACACACACGCACTCATACATGTACACACGCACCCATATACATACACGTACGCACCCATACACGCACACACACGGACCCATACATGTACACATGCACGTAAACGCACGTACTCAACAGACAACATAACGCAGAACAAATAAGACAACAAATATATACACAATATATATATATATATATATATATTATAGGCATATACTAACAATAATTTCGCCGCTATCATACGAGCAGCGAGTGTGCGTGGGCGCCTGAACGTTCGTGTTCTTACGTGTGTGCACGCGAGCGAGTGTGTGCGCGTGCGGGTGAGCGCGCGTGTTCGTGTGCGGGTGAGCGCGCGTGTGCGTGTGCGTGTGCGGGTGAGCGCGCGTGTGCGTGTGCGGGTGAGCGCGCGTGTGCGTGTGCGGGTGAGCGCGCGTGTGCGTGTGCGGGTGAGCGCGCGTGTGCGTGTGCGGGTGTGCGTGTG